AAATAGAGAGAACCTTAAGAGGATCTAGAGAGAATCTTACTACAAATGAGAGAAATCAGATGGCTCGGTTTATATAGGTAATTTTGTTTCCTCGTAAGCTCCTCGTAATTTTACGTGGAAATAGCTATGCCCGCGTTTAGGGTTTCGAGGCCTTTACGAGGAAATAGCTACGTCCGCGTTTTTGTTTCCTCGTAAAGTCTTAGTAACACTGTTACTAGGACTTTGCGAGGAAACAACCTTTACGAGGAAACAATTATCCCCGCGTTTTCTGTTATTAGGGTTTTACGAGGAAAGGGTTTGTAAATCCCTAAACTCGAAACCCCAAACTCCAAACCACAACTTCCTTAACTTATAACCTCTTCTACAGTCAAACTCCAAACCTCTTCTACCCATAAACCCCAAATGCAAATTAATTTTGTGATTAAACAAACTTAAAACATACATAATTCAAATTCAATTTTTTGATTAAACAAACTTATAAACATACAAAATTCATTCGGATACTATCTCGTAATCTGTTGTACCATCATCATTTTCGTAAAACTCGTCCTCTACACCTTCGTCCGTCGAGTGATCAGGAACATCTTCGTATTCACGATTATGCGGATCAATGAGTAGGATGTCATCAATTTCTGCTTCAGGTTCCTCGATCTCATTGGTGTTTTCTTCTTGTAATGGTGGTTCTCCTCCAGCGATTATTCGTCCTCGAGGTGTAACTTTGATAACAGCTAATTAGTTTATTCCCGAGGTAGTAATCCGAGGGTATGGAATGAAGCAAACTTGATCTGATTGGGAAGCTAATATGAAAGGTTCGAACTTCTTGTACCTGCAAAAATAAAGCCAAAGTAGAAATTAATTAGTACCCGAAACCTAGATGTAAAAAAAAAAATTGGTTGTACCTTCATCCACCATTGACATCAACTACACCGTTCTTGTTAATCCGAGCACCTCTGTTGACGACGGGGTCGTACCACTCACACTTGAAGATAACGCATTTCAAACTCATACCTGAGAATTGAACTTCATAAATCTCCTGCAAGATCCCGTAGAACTCTGTTTCGCCTTTCACACATATTCCATAATTACTTGTCGGCCGGTGTCTACCATTGTCATAGGTATGAAAAGTATAGCCTCGGGTGAAATACATCGATGATGCAGTGACCTTTGCAACTGAACCTTGAAGTAATTCGCGAAACCATGCGGGATACTCAGGATCGTCATAATCAACCTGCAAAAAAGTAATAGAACTAGACATTAGACTTACTTTGTGGTAATGTATGCATAAAATTTAAGCTATAATAAATACTTGTTTCCTCAACCACTTTATAAAGTGTTGATGTTTTCTTTTGTCTAACTCAATTGTCGATATACCAGGTATTGCTTCTTCGAGTTGAGTCACAAATTAGCTGTAAAATAATATATGTTATGTTATTTAATATTGAAATATATATAAGTGTGTATGTTTATATATTTATCTTTCAAAATAACTAATCAATGGATGCTCGCAATTAAGAAGAATATAAATGTGTGCACTATGGACGTCTTCATCACTCGACCACCAAACCTCTTTCAATTTCCCACCCAATCGCCCAATTTGACAAAAGATGTCTGGAACATCGTCTTCCATATATGTCGGCACGACACCACCATCATCATATCTTCTTGGAGCTCGTTTCCTTGTACGTACTTTCGGTGCAAAGTAGTACGATGTGAAATGTGATGTT